AGCCGTCGGTGTAGCATTTTTTTTTAAAATAACAATTGCAAATTAAATCAAAACAAACACACAAAAAAATTCGTCACATTATTAATTCAAGAAAAATTGAGGGTTGAACTTTAAAATACAGTCAACTACTGTCTATAATCCCTTCCTCTATAGTCACACCATATGAAAACTCTGGTTATAGTCACACTTTTCCAAATTTCCCATTGCCATTTTGCTTAGTAGAACATAATAAATAAACCCCTTTTTATTTACTATTATCCCCTCTGTCTATAATCCCCACTTTTCCGAAATTTGCATTATGCCAAAAGGTGTGACTATAGACAGTAGTTGACTGTATTGCCATATTTAAACAGTGGCATGTTCCAAGATAAACGCTGACATTTTGGGATATGGATATCTTTTATAGTCTAAGCATACCAAAAAAATTTTTTTTTGGCTGTGGAGATTTATCGACATAAATTATGGCGATAACGTAATAATAAACACGGTTACAATCGAACCATCATATCATGTGGTAACTCAGAATCGATTAGTCAGAACAATCAAACTCGTAAAGTTGACAAAGTTAGTTAATATTAAAATTCGGCATTTGTACAAGACGAATATGGTCCTTAATCTGATATCAATAATGCGAATGTGGTAAATTTTACACCAGCTCAAGTATTTATTCTATTAAATTTTTTCGATGGCTTCGATAAATTTCGGACTCGGAAAAAGTTTGTGCCAAGAAAGTACATTAATGATTAGTTTCAAAGATCTTGCTAATATTTATGAATACCAGAAAAATTATTCTACTTCTAACCACATAACTACCGAAAGTTCATACTAATACAAGAAAGTACATTGATGATTAGTTTCAAAGATTTGGCTAATATTTATGAATACAGGAAAAAATTATTTTACTTTTTCCCACATAACTACACGAAATGTTCATACAAAAAACCTTCAACCTTTCCTTAATTTGGTAATCAATGTTTCCACATTACGTACATAATTGTGCCAAGCCCAGAAGGAATGTCAAACCTATTCAGTAACCAATTACACACTTGTCACAGAAACAAGCTGTAAATTGTTTTTGCAATTTCTGAAAATTTTAAATGAATTGCTCGTTAAAGCCCAGTTTAAGCTGTTGAATCACCAAATATCAGCGCGTTATGACACCAACTAACTTGCTTTATAAGTCAGAAACAAAATTCTGTAAAACTTGTTACGAGCTTAGACTGGGGTGCGCTACAACAAAACCCAACAAAGTGAACATGACGCTACAGGAAAGATTTTCAGGGGTTCAAACTTGCTGATTGGTCTTCTCCCTCGTTCTATTTCATCATAATAATTAATTCACCGCTTTCATTTCTATCATTGAGCATAAAATTAAACCTATTAAACCGATTAAGAGAAAACATCAAAAACTAATATTATTTGCCCCCAAATCTTGGTTGAGCGGTAGCTGCATAATTTTTCATCTCAGAGTAGTTAAACCGATTGTTTAAAGAGCTTTCCGATCCAAATTTTAGAAGAGTAACGGTACATTTCGTTTCTTTGTTTACGTCAAATTAATCTGTAATGTAACATATTTTTAATGAACACGAAATCTGATCGTAATTGGCACCTGCGACCCGCACGTCTTAGAAAATCGAATCACCAAATCTTTCCAACATCAATGTTGAAACAACAAAAGAAAAACAAACAACAAATTATTCAAAAATGCTTGATTTTACCATCGAATTCTTTTGTGGACTATTGATCAGACTTGTCTTTGGTCCTTTTCTCTGCTATCAAATGTATATTCAACTCTGCAATATAAATCAAAAGCTTGAAATAATCATTCAAGCAGTCGAATCAAAGTGAAATCTAAATCCAGTAAACGGCTCAGTGAGCGACATTATTCGTTTGATATTGAAAGTTTGTGGAAAGATTTATTCGATACGAAGTCTAAGTTGGGACTCAGACTTTTCGTTTAACCAAGTCACCATTCAATCCGCGAGCTACGCGAGGAAAAAGGCACTGCCGCCTCAACTTCTACCTGCGAAAAACGAATCATCGTGGTGAGATGCAAATAGATGTACCATAAGTATTCGTTTTAAGAGTACTAAAGAGAATCGATTGTTGTAACTATGCCTGATTATTTACTTGATTTTTTGCAATTCGCATTCGAACTCCTGAAAACAAAAAAGCACTCAATTTACGAGACCTACCGGACAATTTTCAAACTTATACTCAGTGGAAAAAGTCACCGGGCACTTTATTTATTTAAACATTAATGTAAAATGTGAATATTTTTAATAGCTTGTTGGACCCCTACACCTCTCAATACATTTGAGAACCCGTCTAGGCCTAGGCATACTATCGATCAACTTCTTATAGGTTTTCCTGGGAACGATTTCCCACTCTTCTTTTAATGCCACATATAATTCGTTTACCCCATAGATTTGCAATCAGTGTTTAGATCAGGTGATTGCGCGGACCACTTTGAGAGAACCTTAACCTGTTTCTGAGATATCCAGTCCTCTGTATCTTTGACAGTATGGATGGGTGCACTATCTTGTTGGAAAAAATAACGGCGATGATTGAATTTCTTGCGAATCCATGGCAATAAGTTGTTTTCCAAATTTTGTGTATATCCAAAGCGATTAATTTGCCTTCTACTAGTATCAAAGGACCCCAATCCCGTCCCACAGAGACGTCCCCATACCATCACGCCACCTCCACCATGCTTTACTGTAGGTACAAGGTTTTCCAGGTTAAATCTTTTACCATTTCTCTCCAGACACGCTGTGGGCCATCACTAAAGAGACAAAACCTGGATTCACCGCTCCAAATAATTTTATTTTATTTTTTTTATTGACTAATCGCGCCGTTCAATACACCAATCAAGCCGATTTTGCAGTTGACTAACATTTAAAAGAGGGTTTCTTGCAGCAGAACGGGAGTAAAGACCAAGATTATGCAAATGGGTTCTAATTGTTTTTTGTTGATATCTGAAGATCTGATTCAGCAAAGTCTTTTTGTGGTTTGTTCTCTACTATTTTCTTTAAATAACTTTTTGCATTTTCATCAAGCAAGGAAGGGCGGCCGCATCGTGGTGCACTATGGGGTGCCTCCTTTAGTCTTGTAAACGGGAAATTGTATCTTGAACAGTAGACTTAGGGTAACCGAGTTTTTTTATACTTTTACGCATCAATTGCCATCTTCTGAAAGCGTAATAATTTTTGCACGTTCACAATCGGTAAGTTCTCTTCTTTTACACCTCTCGTTCTTCAAACGCAAGCTCTACCTTTGAGCTATCGGGACTCAACCTTTACTTGAAAGCTGGTTACTCATTCAATTTTTACGTAATGAATAAGAGTAATCGAAGAAAACTTTGTTATTAATTGGGGCATGCTGCAACAAAACCAGACAAAGTGAACATTCTATAAATGAGAGGATGATTATGATGTGGCTGTAAAATTGATCAGTGTGATGATGACGTTTTGAAAAGTAACAATGGTGCTTGTTCATTACTTATAAACTTGTTGATTTTAATGCTCACTTTATCATATCAGAATGTGATGAATATAAGCCATAACAGGATTAATATAGGCGTATCTGTATATAAAAAATATTAATATGAAACTAATTACATCAAATCCACTATGGAACCCAAGAATTACAGCACAATTAGAAGCATTCTAAAAAAAGCTCAAGGAGAAATTGCTTCATATGTTTTGAAAATCAATGACACCAAAATTCTTGAGAAATATCTAGATAAAGAAAAAATCACTTATGAAATTTATCAGGAAGAAAGGAAAATTATAACTAATAAAGGGCATTAACACCAGCACATGATGAACCAAGAAAGAAACGAAAATTAGAAGAAAGATAAAGAAAAGCAGTTTAACATAAAAACTTTGATAAAAGACTGTTTAAGCATATGTGTTGAGCTTTGAATTCACATTTTGCTTTTTGACACAATTGCAATCAAAAAGTCAAACAATATAAAAATGATTCAATTTTTTCGTAACATAAATTTATTATTTTGATTATTGAACGCGCGCTCTTGAAATATAAACAATCGTAAAGACCAGAGTGATTGCATGGGAGGAAAATACTCCGACCCAAAGCCATTAATGAGTATAACCTATTCTTTGGTCACTCTGGTGTAAGTTTAATTTTCATTATCTTCTTTACTATCACTATTGTTAATAATATTGTCACTATCATCTATTTTCGACGTCTGGTAAGTAACTTCGTTCGCCGAATGGTTTACTTGGTTTGTTGTTATTATTATGCTTTTTTTAGGCTCGATTAAATTGAATAATTTTATCGATTTTTTGATTTATGTCGTGAAGTTTATTTTGATGGAGTGTATAATAAAGCATGAAGCCAAGAAGAACTCCGATCAGTAATCCACAATAAAATTTGCTGGTAAAAATAGGCATTTTCAAATTGTTTAAGTCAAAATGATCAGGTAGTTTTTTACGATCAATTTAAATTGATGATTGTTAGGTATGAAGGAAGAGAGATTCTGACGGTCTTGCTTTATTTATAATAATTTCATGCGCTCATAAGAGTAGGCCGATTTGTTAAAAGTCTAGATTGATTTACCTCTGAATCCTTTTTCTTTGACGATAAACAAAGGCTATTTCAAACACATAAAACACACCTTGAGCGTCTTCGTTGTTCTTTATGGCAGTATAACAATTACTAATTAGTATGGTTAGAACTTGTGTTATAATGTGTGACAAATGAGAGACAATGTTCACAAAGAATGTAGATATTCGTACTAGTCGTACGGCGAAATACTAAAGCTAATTGAAAATAAGTAACTATTTTAGTGCGTGTGGAATAATCACTTGACAGCGATACGTAAGCAAAAAACATGCAAATAAGAGAGGTATGCAGGTTTCAAACATCAATCACAGGGGCAGCAGTCGGATAATCTGACTTGATGCATGCCGACGTGATTCAAAGCAAGATATAAACGCACACGTCCTTTCGTTTCCCTCGAATAACTTGACAACATGCCACTTACCATAGATGATGTTCCCGACTCGTTTTACGGTTCATATGCAAGGAAGCATAAAGGTGCTACGGAAGCCGATATCATTAAGGCATATGAAGAACAAGAAGTAAGCAAGCAATGAATACACGTTTATTGGGAGGATAGTTAAAAAGTTATCAATGCTATTGCAAGAGAGGCAGTTGGGTGTCATTAGTTGGGTCAGAGCTGAATCGTAGCAGCTAGATTATACATAACCATTTCAAAGGACGCAACAGATTATTATGGGTTAATAGAGGCGTTTGTAGAGTAGCCATGGGCCAACAGAGGGAGAGTAGTTCGAATGCTGTCATAACCTGAAATTCTTATTGCGAAGTTAATTCGCGTCACTAATCTTTTGGTTTCTGTCTTGTTAGGAACTTCTTACGTTCATTGTCTTCTGTGTATGTAAAACTGGGGTGCCTCGGGGAGGCACCCCAGTTTTACATACACCCGTTGAGTCTATAGAAGAGCAATGCTAATGTCATAACCGCATGGTCTGTCAATAAACCTACAAATTATTTCTAGATGCATTGCGACGGGGGTGCATTATAGAGATGCGTTTCCAAAGAAGCATTTCGGCCTGTAAATCCACCTTCCATTGGGAGTAAATGTTTTATCGCAATAAACTTCAGGATATTCCGCAACATTACATCGATAACTGATAAAGCGTAGTAAGTCTTCACGGTCTGTCAGCAAATTGTCGTTACGTAAATCCGTTAGAATGTGTACTGCATTTTGACTAGCTTTCGAACGCGTTATATGCTTCATTGCTCATTAGACTAGCTAATGTGCGGAAATGTGCAAACGTCATATCAAAGTTATACTTTATACTTACTCCACAAGTCATCACAGGAGTCGCTAACAAACAGTCAAAATTTGTCACTGCCACATTGATCTCAGTAAATATGTCCTTTCCTCACTTTCAGTCAGTCGTTTAGAAAAACACATACCTTTATTCCCATGAGATGCTAATTCAGCTTCTGCCATCTCCGCGCTGGCAAACATCGGAATATAAACTTTAAACCCTTTTCTGAGATCTCCAATTAGTTCAGCATACCCCTTTTTGGATTAGAAAGCACCAGGAAATATCCTAGTCGAAAAGCACAAATTAAGATTTTTCTAGTTCCTTCGGGTTTTGTGTTCTTTACTGTAATCTTCTTAAGTGGGCATTCTTGTCCTCAAGCTCACGGCAATGCGTTGTTAGTAAGAGATAGTTTACGTATATCGACGTCAAAAATTCAAAAAAAAGAGCTTATTTAAACAACAGATACAAATATTCAACCGCGACATACAAATTTTATTATACAATCGAATCATTAATCTTTATTAACATAAATTTATTTTGCTAGAAAAAACCATATTAATGACATTTATTTCTTTTGTTTTTTTAATCGATTATTTTGCTTTTTTGATTTTTCAGGTGTTAGTGGATTTGGCGTTATCATATGAACCTTCCGCTTTGCAAGTAATTTCAATTTTTGTTCGATATGTGGCTCAATTTTCGTTATGCTGTTTTTCATGAAGGACTGAAAATAAATAATTATTAGCGAAAGACAATAGATATGTGAAGCATAATCTTTTAATGGTACTCACAAAATATTTCAAGCATGATATTATTGCCTCGGATAAAAGGGGAAGATCCTGCCATATTGCGGGAATACGAAAACAGCCATATTCGCGTAAGCAATATGATTTTGGGTGAATCGTGCACCAAAGCAAAGAGACTTCATCGCGGTGTCCCAGAGCCCCAAAACTCGCCAAGTTATTGTAATCTTTTATGCCGTTGTGGAGACGAAGAATTATCCGTTGATTCAGGACATCACGCATGGTTCGAACCAACTTATAATCGTGGATGTAAAAATCAGTGATATCATCAACATCCGGCGGTCCTGTCTGTTCATATATGAATATTTCTTCCTGGCTTCGCCAGAGGCGAGCCAGGCCGTCCGCACGTTTTGCACTTAAAATTTTATCGATGAATGGGTTGATATTAGAATTACGTCGATATTTACTGCTTCTGATTGGAACCTCAAGACTATAACAGGTAAAACAATTTTAGTTGTTACAAATAAATACTTCTGGAGTGGATAAATCGAATTCACTTACACTCTCCAATCCACGTCACAAACAGCTTTGAGTGTGTTTTTTAAAACGGGAATTACAAATTGTGCGCTGTATTGTTTCTCTTCAAGATCGCTGGATTTTAATATGTTAAACGGTGCTTTAAAAGCTTCAATACTACAAGGATAAATAGAATCACGATATTATATCACTAAATACACGAACAAAAAACATCGTAAAGGCCTAAACATACTATGGGGAGAGTATGTTGTGTAATACATCCTTTATCACCAGATCTTCGTTACTTTCTTTTTCGTCAAAAAGTCCGCGCCAAGTTTTCTCCCATTCGGCAAAAGTGTCTTTTGGCTAATAGGCAAATAATTAGGATATTATCTAGTCCAAAAAATTATTCGCTATTTCTTAAATTATACCTTAAAGAAACTTTGTATTGATTCTTCCCATTTTCTGGTATTTTATAATCAGGATACGTATCCAAGATAAATTTCTCCCACGTTACTTCTGGAATAATCTTTGTCAGTTGTGAGGTGGGCCTTAAATCCATAATGTCGCTATTGCATAGACTGAAGTAATAACAATGAGTAAAACGCGCGCTCGTATATTACAGAATCCGAATTTACTTACTCAAATACATTTTCGCATTCATCACAGTATTTTTCGAAAACTTCTTCCAAATCGAAATCATCCACTGTCACTGCATCACTTTCCATGTTCCCAACCATAGACTCTACTGCTTTTCGCAAATAACTATCAGCATCACTGGTACCATCAGTTATAATATCTCCATTGTCATCAAACGTTTCTTTATAGTTGAGGTCTTTTTGCACTTTTTGATAATCTTGGCTTTCCGATGTTCCCGATCGAGCTTGCGTAACCGCACTCGAAGAAGCGACTTGAAGATTGTTACGATTTTCTGCTATGTATACAACATTTTTTAGTAATAACAACCTTGTAACAGTAGTAATCATTTAAGCCAAACATACCAGTTCGCATACTATTAAACTCTGC